TTTCTGCAGCCACTGAGTTATGTACTGCCTCCTGCAGACTATCTGCATCCGTTGTTCTTGCAGCTCTATACCCTTCTATATAATGTTGAATGGCCCAAATACTCCTATCAGGTGAGAAGCAAGTATGATTATAGATGCATTTGTTCCTGTTTGATAGATTTTTGGTGGTAAGAAGGAGGGTTTGAGAGAGAGGACTTGGAGGAGAAGGAGATAGTCACCGTGGAGTTCCCTTTTTTGGTGAGGTGAGAACCCATTTTTGGTGAGGTGAGAACCCATTTTCTTCCATTGATATTCTGCTATTTATAGCAGAAACAGCACAACACAACATAGAACATAAAGCCATACACATGGAAGGTTGCAGACATTCACCCAACCAGAGAGGAGAAACCATGTTTTCTCTTTCTCTCAATTCTCATTCAATTTCTTCCTTCCCTTTTATAGAGGAAGGCTACACATAAAATAATAATATTTTTCTACTTAATACAATAATTACTAACTACCTAAAATATTGACTAAAATGATGAAGTTTGTTGCCATTTCTTGTAGCCCATGTGAAGCTCCATGCTACTGTCATTTGCCGCTACTGTGCAGTAATATTGCAGCATCATTTAGTAGTTTTCATTTGGTTGCATTTTTAGCTTTCATGCCATAGCTCCAACATTGTTATTCCAAATATATTAGAAAGTTACAATAGCTATCTCTCGGTTTTCTGAACTCAAGGAAGAATTCAAGAAAGTCATCCAAAAATGAATTATGTTGGATAAAGTGCAAAGAAACTATAGGAAGGACTCCTTTCCACACTATCTTACTCCATGCACAATAAAAAAAAATGAAAATAAGATTCCTCTGCTGCACTGCAAATACCACACTCTAGCTCAATATCAAGACCCCTCGAATGCAGTATATCTTAAGAGAGCAAAATCTCCCATATTATTCTCCACAAGACATGCTTAGTTTTGGGGGGGGGGGACATTTAAGAACCAGATTACTTTCCAAACTGGTTTTAGGACTTGATCATGATCATGATGCTCAGAGCCAAAGATCGGCTTTCATGCATATTTGTATGTTGATTTAATTGAGAATTTGCCATTATTTGTTCCAAGCTATATTAATCTGTCAATAGAGCAGCTTCTACTAAGAGGGATATGAAGAATTACCTCAACATCCTCCGCACAGAAAAATTGTCTAACAACAGCTTCCTCCTAACATCCTCTGGCTTCATTTATTAAGTCACTGACTCTATCATCCATGTTGTGGTTAACAAGAGTCGTCTATGGATGGGAAATGGCTCTTGAAGGTAGCCAATTGTCCCTCCAAATCCTGGCATCCCGTCCATTACCTATTCTCCATGTTGATCCCATTTTAAGAATACCGAGACCATCAATAACCCCTCACAAGACCATTGAAGCATTAGCCCCTGTAGTAGCTCCCAATAGATCACCATTAGGAAAATAGTTAGCTCTGAGCACTTGATAGCATAAGGTGTTCTTATCTTGCATCATGCTCTAGCTTTGCTTTGCCAACATAGCTAAATTGAAAGCTCTGAAATCTCAAAAGCCAAGCCTTCCAAGTTTGTTCGGCCTACAAATTAAATCCCATCTTAAAAAGTTTGCATTACCTTATGTTGCACAGCAGTGAGAGTATTGCTACTAAAGAAAATATAGGATTTGTCAAAATTAATTTGTTGACTTGAGACCTGTTCATATTCCTTCAAAATTTCCAATAGCTTCATAGCTTCTCATCCAAATGCCTCCCCAAACAACAAACTGTCATCTGCAAAAAAACAAATGTGACAAACGAAGACATCCTCTACGTAAAGATAACCCTTTTAAATCCCCTCTATTAATAGCCCTTGCTAAAAGAGCTGGTAGACCTTCTGCACATAGAAGAAAAAGGAAAGGGGAAAGGGTGTTAAGGAAAAGATCTCTACAATCTCTTCATGAGCAATTCCCGCTCCTTATTTATGTCAATCCTTGATTTAGTGTCAATCTTTGATTTAGTGAATATTATAATATGTTTCCTTTTGTAATAGGGTTACTAAGTTTGTGCGCCTATATATGTAAGTGTTGCATACACATGAATAGAATTAAGTTATTCAGAATTCCCTTGTTCAAACTCTATTAGTGGTATCAAAGCCTCCCTCTCAAATGAGACCATGGCTCACCAAAACTCCATAAACAAGCCTAGCAACCATACTCCCTTGGCATGTCAATTGTGTAACAAGTTAGGCCACACGGCACAAAATTGTTCCCACTTTAGTATATTGCCTAACTCACCTATGGCAACTTTTACAGCTATGTCTCATAACTCTGCTAATAATTCGCTCATTGATTCAGGTGCAAATAGTCATGTGACTTCCGACTTGGCGAACCTAACTCTGCATTCCCAGTACACTGGTCCTGATAAACTCTTAATCGGTGATGGCTCAGGATTGGGAATCACACATGTGGGACAAACTATAGTTTCCACACAAAATACATCTCTTCCTTTAGACAATGTTTTATGTGTACCCAGTGCTTTTAGAAATTTAATTTCTGTCCATCAATTATGCAGATCAGCCAATGTTATTGTTGAATTTCACGCTACTCATTTTTTTGTGAAGGATCGCAACACGGGGGTGATATTACTTCGTGGACAAAACAAAAATGGGGTGTATGAGTTTCCTTTCATGGACCAATCTAGATCACAACCAAGTGCTTTGGTGGATGAACGCACCTCTTTGATAGATTGGCATGCTCGATTAGGACATCCATCCTCAAAGGTTCAAAATAAAATTTTTAGTGAGAATAGCCTACCGACATCATCCAAGGTAGAGCATTTTTCTTGTGATTCTTGCCTTTGTTCAAAGAGTCACAAGCTATCTTTTAGTCATTCTTCTGTCAAGAGTCAAGCACCATTAGAAATTATCTATTCGGATGTTTGGGGTCCAACTCCTTTTTTATCTATTGATGGTTATAATTATTTTGTTTTGTTCATCGATCTTTTTAGTCGTTATATATGGCTCTTCCCTTTAAAACAAAAATTAGAAGTTTCTCTAATTTTTCCTAAATTTAAAGCTTTAGTTGAAAACCAATTTGGTACAAAAATCAAGAATTTCTATTCGGATGGAGGAGGTGAATATATTGGATTACGAAGATTCCTTTCTGAAAATGGAATCTCTCATTTCACTACACCTCCTTATACTCCTAAACTTAATGGTATAAGTGAGCGCCGAAATCGACATATTGTTGAAACTGGTCTCACTTTGCTTCACCAAGCTTCTTTGCCACCTAGATTTTGGTCTCATGCTTTTCTCACAGCAGTATACTTAATTAATCGGTTGCCCTCCTCTGCTCTTTCATTTAAATCTCCATTTGAAAAACTATTTCAAATAAAGCCAAATTATTTAAAACTTCGAATTTTTGGTTGTGCATGTTATCCTTGGCTTCGCCCATATACACAAAATAAGCTTCAATTTCGCTCTCGTCAATGCTTATTTCTTGGGTATTCTATAGAAAATTTAGGATATAAATGTTTTGATTTCCAAAAAAATAAAATCTTTTATTTTAGGCATGTCTTATTTAATGAAAAAATTTTCCCATTTAATCCTCACAAGTCTGACACCACATCCACTTCTCACTTTAAAAATTCATTTTTGGGTTCCCATCTTTTCTCCTCTGAAACCTCCTCACTGACCATGCCAATCTCCATTGAGCCACGTCTACCTTTAAGGTCCTCCCCTTTGTCCACTTGGCAAGGATCATACCCCACTGCTGCGGCTTTTCCTCTCCTTGGTCTATTCCCCACTACCATCACTGTACCCTCCACCACCAAATCTAGCCACTCCGTCTCACCCTTACCCAACTCACCCAACTCACCCGACTCACGTCCTCCTTCTCTGTCTCAAACTCCATCCACTCCCTCACCCAACTCACCCGACTCCCCCAAATCACCCATCACTCACTCGTCATCCCTCTCACCTACTACCTTCCCAACCATTTCTCCAGCATCTTCCCCTGCTCACACAGGCAGCTCCCAATCTCCATTTTGTTCCACCGCCTCACCTCCATCCAGTCTTAACAACCAAATGTCAGCCCCTGCCTCATCTTCTCCCCTTCAACCGATAGATCCACCCATCCGCACTCATCCCATGGTAACTCGTTCTCAAAACCAGATTTTTAAACCAAAGCAACTCTACCTTGCTGCAACTCCCTGTTCAGAAGCTGAGCCAACATGTGTGAGTCAAGCACTGAAAGATCATCGGTGGAGGCAGGCCATGTCTGAGGAATTCACTGCTTTGGTAAGTCAAGGTAAATGGGATCTTGTTCCTCCTGCACCTAACCAAAATATTATTGGTTGTAAGTGGGTTTTCAGGTTGAAACAAGACAAAGATGGACGAGTTGAACGTTATAAAGCCAGACTTGTAGCTAAGGGGTTCCATCAACAACCGGGGACCGATTACACTCAAACCTTCAGTCCAGTTATCAAACCGACAACAATCCAAGCCATTCTCTCCATCGCTGTAAGCAGGGGTTGGAAAATTCATCAGTTAGACATCAACAACGCATTCCTTCACGGGAAACTTGATGAAAAAATATTTATGCAGCAACCCGCTGGGTTCATTGATCCTCATCTTCCCCACCATGTTTGTCAGTTACAAAAATCTCTCTATGGGCTTAAACAGGCCCCAAGAATGTGATTTCGAGAATGAAAACAGTTTCTGCTTGCTCACGGTCTCACCAATTCGAGGTCCGATTGCTCCCTTTTTATTTATCGTCAGAATACTGATTGGCTTTATGTCTTGGTGTATGTAGATGACATACTCATCACTGGAAGCAATCCTGTCGCTATTGACAATTTGATCACTGCCATGAGTTCCAAATTTTATGTGGAAAATCTTGGTGAACTGGATTTCTTTCTCAGAGTGGAACCTATTCAAACTAGTGCTGGCTTATTTCTTTCCCAACAACGGTATATTCAAGACATTTTGCAACGAGTGGGCATGGACAATGCCAAAGCAGTAAGCACGCCCCTCTCTTCTACAACATCTCTTCGGCAATTCTCAAGTCACTCACTCACCAACCCAATGGCATATAGACAAATTGTTGGTTCCCTTCAGTATTTATCTCTAACTCGGCCAGATTTATGCTTTGCTGTTAACCGGCTATCTCAATTCATGCACAATCCTACTGATCTTCATTGGCAAGCAGTAAAACGTGTTCTTCGCTATCTTAATGGTACAAAATTTCATGGCCTTCTGCTTCGTCCACAAACCTCTTTGTCTCTTCATGGTTTTTCTGATGCTGATTGGGCTGGTGATAAGAACACTTCAATTTCCACAACTGGCTATGTGATGTATCTTGGCTCCAATCCAGTGTCTTGGAAAGCAACCAAACAACGAGCTGTAGCACGAAGCTCAACAAAGGCAGAGTACAGAGCACTAGCAGCAGCTAGCTCCGAAATGGTTTGGATTCTTAATCTTCTTCATGAGCTTGGCATCCATCCTTCCACACCCCTTGCGCTTTACTGTGATAATATAGGGGCAACCTATCTCAGCAGCAATCCAATCATGCATTCTCGCATGAAACACATTGCCATCGACTTGCACTTTGTTCGTGACTTAGTGGACCACAAAGTCCTTCGAGTTTCTCATATCTGTTCTAAAGATCAGTTTGCTGATGGACTTACCAAACCCTTATCCAGTGCTCGCTTTACTTATTTGAGGTCCAAGATTGGAGTCGCAGACGGCTCCTCCATCTTACAGGGGCGTGTTAAGGAAAAGATCTCTGCAATCTCTTCATGAGCAATTCCCACTCCTTATTTATGTCAATCCTTGATTTAGTGTCAATCTTTGATTTAGTGAATATTATATTATGTTTCCTTTTGTAATAGGGTTACTAAATTTGTGCGCCTGTATATATAAGTGTTGCATACACATGAATAGAATTAAGTTATTCAGAATTCCCTTGTTCAAACTCTATTAAAGGGGATCCCCCTTGTCTAATACCCTTGCTTGGGGTGAATTTCTTCATCGGACAACCATTTATCAATACTGCATATTCAACAGTTCGAACACACATCATAACACGATTAATCCACTTATCAAGAAATCCCATAGCTTGCATTATGTCTTCTAAGAAGTTCCATTCTACAATATCAAACACCTTGTTCAAATCAAGTTTGATAGCCATACCACCTCTTTGACTAGCCCTTTTGTTTTTTAAATGATGAATAGCTTCAAAAGCTACCAGAACATTATCATAGATTAGTCTTCCAAAAACAAAAGCACTTTGATTTTTTGAGATGGTTTTCGGTAGGACTGATTTAAGTCTATTAGTTAAAACTTTAGAAATAACTTTGTATAGCACATTGCAGAGACTTATGGGTCGAAATTCCTTCATAAAATAAGGGCACTTAACTTTCAGATTAAGAGAATAGATGAGTAAGGCTTATATCTTTCTCCATAATCCCATTGTTGAGGAAATCTAAAGCAGCAGCCGTGATATCATTCCCTATGATATGCCAATAACTTTTATAAAAACTAGCATTCATTCCATCTAGTCCTAGGGCTTTTGAAGAATGGATTTACTTTAAGGTAGCAAGAACTCTAGAACTCGTAAAGTCTCTATCAAGAAAGGTCGCCATCGAGGACAAGACTCTACCCTCTAGTGCATGAAGAATTCTTCTGTTTGGTACAGAATATCTAGAAGTGAATAAATCTTTGAAATATCTTATACAGATTTCCTCTACTCCTGTTCTGTCTGATACAAGAGTACCATTATCATCATTAATTCAGCAATATAATTCTTTTTGTGCCTTGTAGAAGCTCTGTTATGGAGCTGAAGTGATATTATTGACATATGCCTCTTCGACTTCCTCAAAGCTGCTAGACCAACCGTCAATGTTACGGTCACCGGAAAGATAACTTTCTGTCTTCGCTGCACTGCTGGAAAAGGTTGAGATTGAATTATCATCACCCTCTTCATTCTGCTTATTGCCATACATCCACCACTCAAGATCTGCTCTCCATGATTCCTCGGACACATGTATATCAAATGGACGACCATTGACTCTTAAGACCAAATCACCATCAAGCTTCTCGGATTCGGATACCATTACAGATATTCTAGCCGCTTCCTAGTAACTCTTATCCATAGTATGTTTGTCAGCATAGATGTATCTTCCATATTGATCTCCTATCAATTTGAAGCAACTTTCATTCCAAGCATGAAGAGGAATCCCTAACCAACGACCTGTTGGTCCGAGTGGGAGGAGCTCGATTCCCCTTAAGTAAGGTATCAAGTTTGAGTCTTGTAAATGGAAAAATAGGCGCTAAGAGAGCTTTTTCTTAATGAAATCCGACGCGGTTCGATTTCAGATAAATCGAGACCCAATGTAATTACCGGATATCAATAGATTAATATCAAAAAATGAAGTAGAATCCCTAAAACTTTTAGCCAGATAAATCTCTCTTCACTAAGGTCAAATGTCGACCACAATTTAACCCGCTCAAACCATCTCTCCAACCAACTTCTTTCATTGTCTACCAACTCCTTATAAGATCATCATCCTCACCTTTTAACAGTACCATATTTCCTCCTAGAGGGATAATTGCAATGCTGAAATACCCTTCCATCTCAAAGATCTCTTGTAGAGAAGAGATATATAGTTCCCGCGGATATCACTGTACCTACTGCACAAGCATTCAACCAAGCATAATCCTTCTCTTCCATGGAATATTCAATCACCTTTCTTTCCTTAGATTGATCACCAGTAACTTTCTTTCTCACCGCCTTCTTACACGAATTCACACTCTCCTCTTTCTAAGCTATATTTTTGTGTGAATTCCCCTTCAAGACCTCCAAAAAAGATTTAGAGGTCCCCATCGAATTCTCCTTATTTTCTTTTTGTTTCTCGACAATCCCTGCTTTTCCTTCTGGCTCCGACATTGCAGCTTTTGGCACCCACTTCATCTTCCTTCCAATCTTTCCCATCTCAACCTCCTTTGTCTCTCCCACCTTCAGATCAATATTCTCCTTCCACCCAAAACATATAAATTTAACCCTCATATGAAAATTGTCAATCCAAATCTGATTAAGTCTTTCTTCAAGCTCAGAAGTACTCTTCACATTAAAAAATCTTATAAAACCATACTTCCCTCCACTCCTGTCTCTTTTGTTGGATACATGAACATCTAATACTTTTCCGTACCTTGAGAATAAACCCCACAGCATCCCACCGTTCCATTCCTCATGAAAGTTAGAAAAAAAAAAAAACTCCAAGAATTCTTCAGTAACTTCGGGCTGATCAGTGCAAATCTTCCATATCTCTGTCTATCTCTTGAAACCGATGCAGATATTCCATGAGTACCCTGTCCTATA